CATCAAGTCCAAGTAATACAGTTTCTCTCACCTAATACCACAACTAATCGTCTGCTTTGTTTGGATGTCCTTAAACACACAAAAATCAGACCAAAAAATGACAATACAAGATAAAGCTGTGGTTATTTGGGAAATTAACAAAAAATTAGATCTAAAGATGGAACAACTAAAATAGAATCTAAATGCAGATTATCAGTAAGTGTCAAAGATCCTTCCCCAATAACTGGGGTCAAAGTAAACAACTTTGTGTGAGAATGAATTAAGAGGTGAGACCTATCTAGAATCAAATGTCATATGATCTGTGGTACCAGAATCAATTATCCATGCACTATTAGCAACATGTGTAGAAATATTGAAATTCTTACCACCAGTATCTGTTGTCTTAACACCTGCTGCAGTGGAGGTCTTTGTTGAATTCTTTTTTCAATGGTGATGATCCCACCATTTCGAATATCCCAAGAGTTTGAAACAACGACTTTTGGTATAACCAGTCTGGTTGCAATGAGTGCATTTGTAGGTAGGCTTGTCTGTTCCATATAATTCAATATTTGTTTCACACTTTTTTTTTTTTAACTAGTTTATCACAGAACTAGTTTTCAAATGAGGTTACAAAAAACTGGTTTAGTTTTGAACTAATCCATAACTGGAATAGTATCACACTTGTGGCCAAACAGAGGTTTTTGATTTTTTTTTTTTTTTTTGAATATTATATATATTGAATATTATATATATATATATATATATATATATATATATATATATATATATATATATATATATATCAGAAGAACAAAAGAAGAACAAATCAAGAGATTGGCGATGCGAATCGTGAGCTTCAGTCGAGGAAGGCGACCGGCGATGCGAACCGTGAGCTCCGGTAGAGTAAAGCGACCGGCGATGTGGTGGTGGCGGATCGTCATGAGATCGGCACTGTGAGTCCAAATCCAGTTCAGATCGGCGACTTCAGAGAGTAGATCTGGTTCGGTTAGCCATCTCCCTTGTCGCCGTCGCTGGTTATGGCTAGCTTGGACTCGCGGTGCGGCAAGGAGATTCGGCGATACGACGCGGTGCAGGAGGCAGCGGCAGAGAGTGGCTTGCGATGTGGAGAAGATCCAGCGATTTAGAGAAAATCCGACGACGACTATGATCCGGCAATTTGGCAGTCGAGGTGCAGCGGTTCATTGCCGGTAAGCAGCGGTTCAGTTTGGCAGCGTCATCGTCGTCGTTTGAAGAGTCGCCGGCAGGTAACGGTGCAGCGGTTCATGGTAGATTCAGATTCGGCGATGGGTATGGGTATGTGTCTGTTGTATGTGTATGTGTATAGGTATGTGTCTGTTGTATGTGTATGGGTCTGTGTATGGTTCAATGAATAAAATAAACAAAATAAAAAATAAATTCAAAGAGATTCAAATGTGCAGTTCAACTTGGCTCTGATACCAAAATTGAAATTCAGAGAAAGAATATGAGAATTAAAACTCAATTCGATAATTCATTGATGAGTATTACATTCAATTTATAAAATAAGATTAGCTAAAACAGGTAACAAATTACCTACCAATTAGCCTTAAATCAAAGAGTAAATAATTCAATCCTACAGCTGTACTATAAAAGATAAAATCTCAACAGAAAATTCTAAGCCTAAGAGGACTGGCTAGACCTATGATCAAGAGGAAGGTTTGTGATAGGTCTAACACCTTTTTTTTGGAAGATGATCATTGGTTTCAAGGGGGCATCTCTCTATGAGAGTTGGCAGGAGAGCTATGGAGGGTTCTCCTATTCAACCCAATCAAAAGCTAGCTTCTTTTTGCTTCGATGAGGAGTGGTAATTCCCTGATTCTCTTATTGCCTAATTCCTAGAGATCACCACACTTGCTCTACCAAATAACTTCCATTATACTTTGTTCGGATACCATTGCCTTCGGGTGTTTTTTTCACTCAACCACACAATTAGATAACTTAAAACAATGTGCAATCCAAAACCATGGCATCACTTGATATGGAACTCTTTTTCGGTCCCGAGATGCAGATTCTTTCTATGGCTTGCTACACAAAATATGCTCTCCACTCTTGACTAGAGTAGTATGAGTGGATTTACAGGATCTAGAGTTTGTCGTTTCTGCAATACTGTGAATGAAACACACAATCATTTATTTTTCGCTTGCTCCTTCATAAGACCCATTTGGATGTCTGTCTAATACAAGTGTATATTTCATGTTGTACCTGCCTCGTGGAATGAATTTGTTGATTGGCTTCGTAGCACTGAGCGAGATGAGATCTAAGGACTTCATTGAATAAACTAATGCTTTCAACCTCGATCATTCGAATATGGCAAGAGCATAACAATAGGATCTTCAAATGTAAGAAGTGTCCACATATGATGATCTTCAGACAAATCACAGATATAGTTAGACAGAAATTGCTTTCCATAACAATGAAGGATTCGCACACGGCAAGAAGACTGATGCTTGATTGGGATCTATCGATGTTCATTTGCCCTTCGCAGGAGCCACCGGATCAGCCTAATTAGGGTTTTTTGCCCTAACTTGTTTACACCAGATGATTGTAGGGCTTAGACACAATTAGTCTAGTATACACATGCTAAACTTGTTTTGTCTTTGTTATATTGATTGGGCCTAGCCGTGTTGTTTCTATTGTGGTTTTGGTTTGGGCTTGTCTATAATTCGTGGGCTTCAGCCTATGTACAACAGGTAACGTTCTTCATTTATATAATTTTACCTTCCGATGGAAAAAAATTTAAATAAATAAATAATTAATAATAAAAAATAGACACCCAACATGATTTTGGAGAATGAAAAGGAAAATGTTAAAAAATAAAGATACTATAATCAATGGGTGATTAATGCAATGACATGATCTTTCTTCAAAACTAAAGGTAAAATAGCCATACCTCGTGAGTAAAATGTGTAAATATTTATCAAATACCAACGAGTCAGTGGCCTAGCCGTATCAACCTCTTACTTTCCAAAGGGAGGTCAGAGGTTTAAATTTCAGAAGAGACAAGTGTGTGTGAGTATCAACTAGGAAATTTTTTTTTATCAAATAAAACTTAAAAAAAAATACTCAAATAAAATTAAAGTCTTTCCAATAGAATTATGAAATTTATTCGAAAAAAAAATTCAAATAAAGAGGGCAAAATATGGTAACTTTATCGTATAAAATTTGACCTAATTACACAAAACATATAAAAATGGCATTGTTTACGCCAATCCGGATGACACGGTATAATAAAGGACATTCCTTTGATTACACCAATCTAAGGAGGACCATATGAAAAAATTAGTCCAATGCTCGAAACTACAGTCATTAAAGGTTTGGGAGGACAATATAATACGTAGCAAATGCTAAGTCATACAATAATTTTTAATCGGTGTAGCTCTCACGCTCCGAAGACGCTCGCGCTTTGGTTCAAATTCTCACCATTTATGACTTAATTCTGCCGCTCTCACACTTCTGCTCTTGAATTCGCTCTCACTCTCTCTCTCGCTTTATGTGACTTAGAGTAAATGACATTTTTATTTTATTTTTATGTTTGTGTAATTAAGTTAAACTTAGTAAATTATGATTAAAACGTTGAAGTTAGAAATGAGACGCAACTTTTGGTCCAATTTATATAATCTTTCCATTGAAAAAAATAATAATAATAAAAAAGTGAGTGTGACGTAACCATATATAAGACAACGTCCTCCATGTGTGATTTGGTACTTTTTGGTCCAATTTATATAATCTTTCCATTGAAAAAAAATTATAATAATAAAAAAGTGAGTTTGACCTAACCATATATAAGTCAACGTCATTCACGTGTGATTTGATAACTAAGGGTGAGTTTAGTAACGTTTTCGTTTTTTATTTTTGCAATATTAAAAAAGCAGAAATATAATTTTGTTTTCTGAAGTGAAAATAGAAAATAGAAATGATGTTTATTAACACTTATTGTTGCCACAAATTTGAAAACATAAAACAATAATTGTGTTTAGTAATACAACATATTTGTTACAAAATGTACATAATATTCTTTAATTTTTTTTTTTTTTTTTTTTCATTTCTATTTTTTTTTTTCATGGTAAGAATTTTAAAAATTAGTGATTAGAGGGGATGGTAGATGACTTGAACGCGAACTCTCGGATACAGGGAGCAACCCAATCACTCAGGCACGACACTTACTTCCATTAATATCAAAAAGCCATAAATCTAGAAAATCTAATTTAAAATTATAAATCTTAAAAATACCCAATACATCATAAGTACAAAATTAGATATATCAAGACAAAAACATTCTCACCAATTATGTATATAAATATATGTATATGCATGATGTATACATTTATTATGTGATATATAATATATTTAGCATATGATAATTTATTATGAATAAAAAATATTAAATAATATATCTTATATGTAATAAAATATATATTGTGTTATAATATTGTAAATTAATTATAATTTAATATTTACATATAATATAATATATAGATATGATATATAATAATATATAATATCTATTGCTTAATAATTTAATAACATTATATTCTATATCAAAAATTATTTTTTCACAAAGAATCATTTACAATAATATTTAATATATTATATATTAAAATATATTTTTATCAAATAAAAAATAATATACCATATTTAATTTATTCTATATTAAAAATATATATTTTTATTAATATTTAATATGCAACTTAGTACATAACACAATATGAATTTTATTTGAAATGAATAGTGCCTCTGTAGTAACACTGGTGAAAACGTTTCTCTACTACAATACAGAGCAGAAAACATAAGAAATAACATTTTTGATGTTTTATCTTTTTTTTACAAAAATTGAAAACGTTTTTTCATAAAAAAAAATAAAAATATTTTATTAAAGGGGATTTTTATTTTGGTTTTACCGTTTTAGAGATTAACAACAGAAAACAAAACGTTATCTTGCTACTAAACCCAGCCTAAACTTTCGCTTGGCTTCATATCTCACATCACATTGTTCCAATTCCATCGTCTTTTCCCTCTCCATCTCTTCCTTATAAAAAAGGGTTCTAGAGAAGGAGCGATATCGAGGAGTCCGTGTAACACAAAAGCTATAGAAACTGAAGTTACAGAGAGAGAAAATGTAATTTGATTCAGACGCCAATGGATTATACAAACAATCTCTCGGTAAATAAACAAAACCTCTCTCTCCAACTATATATATATATATATATATATTGTGCGTTATATATATGTGATGTGTTGGTTTTGACAGAGATCGAGCTCCCTAACATTAGGGGAACGAGCATGTGCTGTATTTATGCCGTTTATTGCGATAATCGAAGCTCTGATCTTCGCTGTCTCTGGTTGCTTTGAATACTGTGACCGACCGAGGAAATGCCGATACGGCTACCGAGATTTCTCTCGGCTCGCCGATGAATCCCGATGTACGTACTGTTATGTAACTTCCTTTCATTTCAGTTTGGTGTTTCAATTTTAAATTGTGATTTGAATAGTAGTATTGTTTGTATATGTCACAGTTACTGTTAATGAAGTGGAGGCATTGTATGAGCTGTTTAAGAAGTTGAGCAGTGCGATTATAGATGACGGCCTTTTACACAAGGTATGGCGATTTTTTTTATTTTAAAAAATTAGAAGTTTTAAATTAACTTCATAAGTTCATATAAAATTTAGGGTAAGTTGCAAAAAATCCCCCTCAACTATGTCTAAATTTGAATATAACCCTAAACTATGTTTTGTCCATATGACTCCTTATCTATTTTTTATTAAATGACCATTATACCCTTTTTTATTGAATTACACTTGATATACTTTTCTTGTTAAAATAAATTATGAAAAAAATTCATACTAATTTGATGAAATATTCTCCATTAAATTTTGCATAAGTTTGCCTTTAATTTTTTAAATTAATTATTTAAATAAAATCTCAAATAGAAAATTTTGAAATAATTTAAGTAATTTCTTAATTTTCATGAATATATTGCATTAAAAAGAATATATTTATTTTTTGCGTAATTTATTAATTTTTCATGAATATTGTTTGAAAAGGAAAATATTTTTTTATACTATTTTTTTTTTATTTTTTATTTTTTTAAAGTGAGTATAATAAGTTAAACATTTTAGAAAATGATAGCTACAAATTTATTTAATTTTTTCATTTTTATAATCAATTGATACTAATTATAAAATTAAGGTAAATGGTATAATTAATATTTAAATAAGAGAAAATATAATAAAAAATAATATAATAAGAAATGACAAATTTAATAACAAAGGGTAAAATTGTAACAACCCAAACCCGAGGGTCCAAATTGCTAACTAGGTCCTTACCCGAACCTGAAAAATGTAATAATATGATGGGGTGAGCCAACCGTTCAGTAGGAAGTGTCTAAAACACACTTCTTATGATCCGGTAAATTCACGCAAAGAATAGATTATAAGTAAACGAGATCATGCCTCGGGAAATAGGTATAGCAATAACAACATCAACAAATATGTAAACTAGTCATCCGACCACCAAGTATGCACTATGTGCCAATGAAATGCCATGCCATGCAACGTCGCTCCCCGTTTCCGAAACAATACCGTTTCACCCTCTCAACCCGTTAGTGCAATCCGACCCATGGCAATTCCATGGCATCACGAGAGGAGGATTGACTGACTATCCTGACCACATGGCAACTCCAAGGCGTTGTTAAAGGGCCTAGGCAGCTCAACCACGCTAGGGTCTCTCCCTATTCCCATTTAGACCACACCAACGCCACGGACCACTAGGTGACTCCTAAGCGTCCGGGTTTCGCAAACATTTTTCGAAAACTTTTTCCCCAAAATAAATTTTCGTTTTTCTTTCAAAAACCACTTTTCCCATTTTTCTTTCCTAATGAATGCATATATGAATGCTTCGTGCTTCTAAATGCCAACTCAATAACAAAATCCCATACATATCATCTACATCATACTAGCATATTTGAAAGAATTTCAAAGCATCAATTTTCACAATTAAATTTCAATTTCATGGCAATTGAGAATAGAGGGCATACGACAATTTAATACTAAGCATGCTCCTTCACAAATTTCGAATGAAACACATATAGCAACACATTTATTCCATGGAGTACATTTATCACATCTTATGCATTTAACCATAATTGCCAAGAACAAAATTCACAAAATAAAGCATGCAAATAACAAAATTCATAAAGGATAATTCACAAAAATCAAAAAAACATGCATTAGAACACCCCTACCACAATAAAGATGAAAAGCCCCAATTTGAACCCAAAATTCAAAATCCCAAATGGTGGCCAAATGACACTTTGATCCGATCAAAACGAATATCTCGACGCGCTCGTCAACTTTGCCTCAAGTGGCATAATCAAATTCTCAAAGACAAAGTCAATATCTTGGCTTGAATTTGTGAGGAAAAGAAAAAGAAAAAGAAAAAGAATTGAGAGGGAGAGAGAGAATCGTGGCAGAGAGTGAAAGAAAATGGGTTCAGGAAAAATCCCACCGAAAATCGAGATAAAACGGAATTAACCACCGAAAAAATCAGGAAAAATCCCAGAAAATGGAAAATGATAAAAAATGGAAACATTATAGTCCACCTTCCTTAAAAAGATTTCGTCCTCGAAGTCTACCCTCCTTAAAGAAGGAAGCCCACAACCACACACCTTCTTGAGAAACACCTTATAAGATTATAAGACTATAAGCTCGCCAACCTTATTGCCTTTGACACCGAACGTCAATAGGCCATCACACCACTACCATTAAATCATAATGCTCACCACCCTATGAGGGTACTCATCACTCACAACATCAGAACACAAGACTAATTGGATTCAACACCCTGACTTAAAACGGACATCGGTCTACTCTACATTGCCACACAAGGCATTCGGAGCCCGAAAGAAGAACGGTCACAAGACCTCTGAATATGACAACATCCGATCTCAACTCATCCTTTAAAGGACACACAAAACCCTAGACAAGGAACCCTGTCCATCTCACAATCAAGCTCAAACTCAAATATACACATCCCTGTCAGACCAAACACTCGCTATTTACCACATAGCTACACCATCGCATAACTGCACCAGCGACTACTAACTACACTATACGACAATCATCATACTAAACAACTTCAAGATGTCTAAACAACAGATGTCCCAATGACTATATAATCATGAGTCACCAGAACAATAAAACATGCTATCATGTACCTGAGGATACCAAAGCGACCCGGGTTTGGAGTGATCCACATTGCATAGGATGGGTCGGGTGTGGACGAACAGGATGAAGCCAGTTCGCGCCGTATGGGCCCAGGTCCATAAAGCCATTTCAGAAGCCTATGATAAAATGAGAGAAATCGAGTCCAGCCAAAGGAGAACAAGATAGGACCAGCTCAGTGGAGGTTGTAACCGTCTATAAATAGAAGGGATTGAGAGGGAAAAGGGGTTGAAAAATCATTGAGAGTGTAAAGTTTCTCTCTCTACAATTAGGGAAAAATTCTTTGTACTTTCAATTGGCGCCGTCTGTGGGAAGAACAGGAAGGATTGATTGATGTCATTCCAGATCGGATCGATTCAACGCATTCTGCGAGGAAGACGATTAATCTGCGAAAGCTGAATCAACATGGGTGATAATACGAGCTGTCTTGACGAGTCTAGGCTCCGGTTGATTTCGGAAAATTGGCGTCCGATCTAAGCAGATCAAATCCGTGCTTGATTCGGCGAACTGCGTAATTGCGATCTGTTGTAATTACTGAATCCGGCCAATAGCGGACTGAATTTAGCAAGTGTAAGTTCAGATCTGGTGTGCGCGCGTTAGCGGAGCTCCGATTTGGTCAAGAAGTCTGCAGTTGATGACTTTGCTCCGATCTGGAATGATGATCGGAGAGGCTAACTCGAATCCTTTGGAGAATGGCCAGCAGACAAAGCTCGATGAGCTGATGAACATGATCGATGCTTTGAGGAAAGAAAATGCAAAGCTACGAGCTGGAATGGAGCATCGTGAGGCTCTTGCAATTCCGAGGCCACCTCCTGAAGGAGAGGGAGCTTTACTGTCCGAAACTGATCGTCAGGGTGATCCAGAAGATGTCAATCGTGGTGGTCTACGTCGTGATGAAGATATAATCGGTAATCTGCCTCCGAATGTCGGCCGAGTAGAGGATCGGGAAGGATCTGTTCGTCTGGAACCGCATCACAAACGGATTATGAGGGAGGAAGCACCGGCGTATGAACATCGGATTGCGTCACCATGGCGGAGTGAATTTGCGGAGGATAGGTCGTTCGATCCGCCATACCGACCTTCATTAGTGACAGTTGATTACAATAGCTCGGAAAGGAGATCTGCCGATCGAGGATTTCCGTCACGGTTTTCAAGAGAAAAAGAAGCATTGCGTTCCTCAGCAAGGACGGTCGCATCGCCGTTCACTGATGAAATTCTAAACGCGCCGAATCCGAAGAAGTTTTCCATGCCAATCTTCATTCTGTTTGACGGGACAACCGATCCGGTCGATCACATATACCATATTCAGTTGAAAATGGCTTTGAATACTAATAATGATCCTTTGATGTGCAAGTGTTTCCCTACGAGCTTGGCTGGACCAGCTCTCAATTGGTTCAAGAATCTGGCTCAAGGCTCAATCGCCAGTTTCCAGGACTTATGCGATAAGTTCATAAGCCAGTATTACGGGAATAAGCGTCCGGCTAAGGATGTATCGATCCTTTTTACAATGAAGCAGCATGAGGATGAGCGGCTCCAAGCTTTTCTCACCCGGTTCAACCTCGTTAAAAGCATGGTAATGGAATGTCACCCGTCAACAGCAGTCCAAGCATTTAAACTCGCAATGAACCGGGGGACGCCGTTCCACACCAGCTTGGTGGTTAATACGCCAAAGACAATGGACGAGCTGAACGAGAGAGCTGACGGTTTTGTTCGCCTCGAGAAGGAAGAAGCAGCTAATTCAAGGAAGACGTCAATTATTTCGACGGAGGAGAAGTCCAAAGCCAAGATCCGGCAAAAACAAGCTCAACCGCAACGTCACCCCTCATGGAAGGCAGAGAAGAGGCCCAGGGAGGAGGAATCAGTCACTCCACTCAGAGTCACTTTAGCAAGGCTATACCAGGAGAACAAAGATAAGTTTCGTCCTCCTCTGCCAATCAGGCAACCTCTTGAACAGAGGGATCAGACTAAACATTGTGCTTTCCATAGTGATTTTGGGCATCAGACTAACGAATGCAGGAACTTAAGGAGGCAGGTAGAGATGCTGATCGCAAAGGGGGAGTTTGCAAGCTATGTTCAGGGTCCGGCGCAAGAGCATAACCGCCCGACTAAACAAATCAAGCGGAACCAGAGGCCAAACCAACACAACTCCCAACCCGTCCGGATTATAAACGCAATTCATGGCCGGCCTGAACAAACGACGGAGTCAGAGGAGTTGCTCAGGACGAGGTTACGCCAGGCCCAGCTGAAAAGAAGAATTGGCAGTGTGCATGCTTTGCACCAGCAGAACGCGTCTACATCGATAAAGTTTGATAAAACGGACCTGCTACGCGTTCAGATTCCTCATGAAGATCCACTAGTCGTCAGTCTGACGATTGC